CATATGTATTTTTAAACATCATTAAGAGATTTAAGTATAAAAAGGTGCCCATAATGTGAGTAGCGGCATTGACGGTTTTTTGTTATGAGGAAAATAAACAGCAAAATATATTATCGACTGCAGCAACTATGTATTCCTAGTTTACATTCAGTATGTCCAATTAATATGGAATATTATACCTATACATACTTTTAAACATTTTCTACCATTATATTTTGATAGTTAAGTTTTTGAAATTATTTGTTAGCTTCTTAAACAAAACAGACCCATAATAATTCAAATCTTTATCATCCAAGACTTTCAAGAATTATGAAGTAATCTCACGTTCAATCAATTTTTTTTAAATTATTGCATGCCTTAAGTATTTGCAAAGTTAAGAAAAATATTTCTTTGCATACCTTGCAATTAATATATTTGGTCTAATTTATCAGTTCTGCATCATATCCGAAATTCAGATTGTGTGTGACACAACGAAGAGTGAACGTGCAACGTGAAAAACAAGAAAAATGGCAAGTAAAAAAAATGTAAAACTTTAATTACTAATTACACAGTCCTTCCCTTGAGTTTTTCTGCCTAAAATCTATATTGCCTTCCCTAAGATTTTAAATATAAATGATGATAACAAGTTTGCCACAATTTAAATTTAAGATAATTATTTAATTATTAAATCCATAATTATATTAAAAAATAACACTTACGAAGTTAATAAATATTAACTATTTCTAGTTAATCATTTAATAATTATTCTGATAAAAACACGCTGGATTTTTTATTTTGGAAATCATACAGGCTATAATCATTAATATGACTATATGTATTAACAATAGTTAAATTAAAATTTATTTGAAGGAATGCCACTTGAAGTATTAACTCGGAATAATTATTAAAAACTGCTCATCGCGTTATCGATGTCGGCGTCTTGTGACTGTTGTCTGGCTGATTGGCCGTTTAGGTATCTATAGTTTGATTTCAGATAATGCAGATTTTAATGTGCCATTTGTGGTTTTTTTATTAGAATTTTTTTACATATTTGGTATACTCTATGAAGTGCTCATGTCCATTTTTCAATTATTAAAGTGCCTATTTAGATACATTTAAAATTAATTAATTAGTGTATAGTAATTGAATTATACAATATTCAAACGGTAAAAACTATCAACTTATCCCAATAAATATTTGACCACGCCTTGGATTCATTTGTTTTAACGCCTGTTGGCGGTGGAAACCATTCTTTGTCCTAAGTTGATAATTAAAAAAATTATAATCATATAAAAAATATGGTTATTAATCTAAATTTATTATTTATGTGATTCTGCTCTTTCTCGTATAATTTGCCCCTTGTTTCTCATGCGGAAATAGTTAGATTTAAATAGCCAAACTGTACCTAACAACCATGCCTTGACATATTTCCTTTTAAAATAATATCGCTTTCTTTATCCGCCGGTCCAGACTCGACCTTGCCCTATTCAACTTAAGTACGTGTTGACAGGCAGGTTATTGAACCCATGTTGCTTCTAGCATGTCGTTTTTTCAAAGATGGGTCCCATATAAACGCGGCCAGAAGTATTTTCAATACTAAAATTATAAATCTAAAATTTTATTTTCATAGCTACGTATTTTTTTCATAGCCTTAGGATGCCTCATGTACTATCGAATATACGAAATATATAATCAATACATATTTCTTTAAATATCGAGAAATAAAATATGTTTGGCAACACCGTACGAAATATCGCCGCGCGTAGTCCTCAAAATTTAAAATATTAGCATTTTCAGGCTTCGATTATGTTCAAAAGCGCCACCGTATGACAAATCACTAAAGCTTCCACACGAGAGTTCTTAAAACTATAATATTCTTTGCTGGTGCTCACAAAAAGCCAATCAGATTCAAGAGTACGCCACGCATCACGATTAGCGTAAATTCTTTGAGGCTGTAAAAGAAGTATACGGTCCAACTAAGAAGGTAAGCTGCCCAATCATGACACAAAATGGCGAACTTCTAAAAGAGGAAGAACAAATCAGAAATCGCTGGAAAGAATATTATAGCCATATCCTTAACCAAGAAAACAACCCCAATATTGAAGCACTAAACACAATACCTCAGTATAAGAGCCTCGATGTATTAGACATCCCAATAATGGAACAGGAAATAAAGACCTCCATAAAACAGCTTAAAAACAACAAATCAGCTGGCTGTGACGCGATTCCGGCGGAAATCTATAAGTGTACAAGTAAAGAACTTATTGGTCATCTTAAGGCTCTCTTCGATGTCGTATGGGATAGCGGAGCGGTACCTCAGGACTTTCGCAACGCGAATATAGTAAATATATTTAAGAACAAAGGAAGTGCATCAGACTGCGGAAATTACCGAGGAATTTCACTATTGGCCATTGGGTAGGTTAGGTTGTAACCCATATATACAAAAAATCCTTCCAGAATCGCAAACGGGTTTTCGTACCAACCGCGGCACCGTCGATTCCATATTTTCCATCCGTCAACTACAGGAAAAAGTAAAAGAGCAGCAGTCTAAACTTTATCTAGCATTCATCGATCTAACAAAAGCCTTCGACTCTGTGAACAGAGATGCGCTTTGGGCAATTATGAGTACCCAACAAATTTCTTACAGTGTGTAAAAGCCTCCATAACAACAAGTCAAGAGTGTCACATCATGGATCACTGAGCGACCCATTCCTAATACAGAGTTAGGCAGAGATGTGTCTTAGCGCCTCTCCAATAGGAGAGGCGAATATGTTGAATACAACATATTCATGGCAGCGCTCTCCGTTATAGTGGACAGCAAACTGCTGGAGAGAGGATTGGGCATTACATACAGATACGACGGCGGTCTGTTCAACATAAAAAGACTCATGGCAAAAACACGTACAAAATTCATCACAGAACTCGAATACGCTGACGACTGCGCTCTAGTTGCAAACACGATACAACAATTACAAGAAATGTTGAACACATACCTGGGCATACGAAGCTTTGGGCCTTAAGCTAAACATCGACAAAACTAAAATCATGTGCACTCCCTCGGAAGACCACAACAATGCTATAAAAATCGGAGAAGAACTATTGGAATATGCGGCGGAATTCAAGTACCTTGGTAGTTTGATTTCGGAAAGGCCAATATTGACTCTGAAATTCAGCACAGGAGCGCCTCAAGAGCGTTCTGGAAATTAAAAGACAGGGTTTTCTACAATCATAACTTGAGTACAAAAACAAAACTTGCAGTGTACCGAGCAATTATAATCCCCACCATGTTATACGGGAGTGAAACCTGGGTGCTGTACCGCCGAGACATGAACGCATTAAACAAGTTGCAACAGAGACACCTTAGACATCATGTCTCAAACGTATCGGTCCTTGAAAAAGCTAACTACGAGAGTATTAGAGTCATGGTTACAAAATCCCGATTAAGATGGGCTGGTCACGTATGCAGAATGCAAGAAAACCGCATACCAAAATCTCTGCTTTACGGTGAGCTTGTAGACGGTAAGAGGAGGCCGGGTGGACAACTGAAAAGGTACAAGGACATTTTCCACGAAAAGTTAAAGGGGATTAACATGCAGAATGATTGGGAAAAAGCAGCTCACAATAGAACTCAATGGGGAAGAGTTGTAAACTCAGTTAACAGCGACAACCAAAAAGTAAGAAGAGGCAACAAAACAATGAGATTTTTGAATGTCCGGAGTGCGGTAGGCAGATAACATCACGTATCGGGCTTTTCAGTCACAGAAAAGCTCATGAAAGAAAACGCCTTGCGTGACCATCTTCTTTATGTGTGTCGAATACTCGTCAGCGAGCAACGGCTGTATGTATGTATGTAAAATGACATTATATCAAGTTCAACTTGATATTGTTCTTTGTATTTTTTTTGCTTCCGACGACGGAAATAACTAATAAACTTTCTGAAACGTTAAACAATTTTTTCTTTGTTAGGCAAATTTGTATAACTGTAAACAAAACTTCTGACAAGCAGTGTCCATTTAGGTTTAACGCAGAAGTGTTTGAACGCAGAAGTGTTTTACAAAAAATAACTATTTTATTTTGTAAATTTTCTTGCAGTGCAGTGGCGAAATACCCATAAAGGATTTTTTTGGAGAATGAATCCGCCACATAGGTATAGACATTTTTTACATCTTTATTGTTTAATGTTAAGAAATAAATTTTACAAAATGAGACTAATCAGTCAGAATGAAACTAAAACGAAACTAAATTTTCGAAAATTATATTTATTTTAAATAATTTAAAATTTTGTTTGGATATAGAATAATTAACAAATTAATATATAGCAATAATGCTGCGTCAAAAGTGATTATAAATACGATAAATTTAACTATCAAATACATTTATTAAAATAAAATATATGCGTTATAAGCGAGAATTTTGGGAGGATAAAAATATATGCTTCTAAAATATTCCATTTGCGGTATATTCAGCCGATTAAAATAACGAAAATTTTTCTGGGCGGTCAGCGAATATTTTAGCGCTAAAATAAACAACGTATTAATTTACAAATATATATTTTAATATTAATTTTCAAACATTTTACTAAAATATTCTCGGCAATCAATATTACCGGTGACCACCGAGGAAATAATTTTAAATTTATTAGGAATTAACGAATATCATATCAGAAGGCGATGCTAAATAAATTTAGAACACAATAGTTAAGCTTTAATAAAGATTATATAAAATATATAAATCACTCAAAATAACAAAACCCTTTTTCAATCACACCTAGAAGTAAGTATTTTATTACAATAATTACTACTGTAAGAGTCTTTTTTCGTTAAAAAAATTGTTTATATTAAATTGTGTTATTTTAAGAAATAATATTTTATTTGAATCTCTAATTGACTTTTGTTGGCCGCATTACAATAGAAATTATAAAATTGTCGTTTCCTAGACGATGCGGTTTGCATTGTTGATGATTATTTGACGTTTGACGTTGCATTGTTGATGATTATACTGACGTCGACATTTATCAAAAAAAAAAATATTAAATTCAGATTATAATTGTGTGGAAAATATTTCTGGGACTGAATAGAAGGAATGAAGTATTATACAGGTGAGTGTATTTTGTTCACTCACGGGCATTACTGGGATTTGTATGGGAGTAGCTTAATATTATTTAGTTAACAGTTATTGAGCTTTAGTAGTAGATAGAGAAGGGTATTTTAGTATTACTTTTGTGTGTGTGTGTGTTTTATAGTAGACAAGTATTTATCAAAGGGCATTTTAATATAGTTTAGTTAAAAGATAGATGTTTATCAAAGAGTGTTTTAGTGTTATTTATTATAGAAACGTAATTGACAGCTATTTATCAAAGAGTGTTTTACTAATATATATTGGGTGTGATTTATAATACCTAGCAAATTATCAAATGGTATTTAGTATTATTATTTTGGAGTGTTTTATATTTTTACGTATGACCCAAATTGTTTAACAACATTATTAAGCTATGTCGCTTTGTGGCCATCCCTTTTGTGCGTGGGAAAGAACCCTTGTCGCTTAGCTGCGGAACAACAATATTATGCTATGTCGCTTTGTGGCCATTCCTTTTGTACGTGGGAAAGACGCCTTGTCGCTTAGCTGCGGAACAACAATATTAAGCTATGTCGCTTTGTGGCCATCCCTTTTATGCGTGGGAAAGACGCCTTGTCGCTTAGCTGCGGAACAACAATATTATGCTATGTCGCTTTGTGGCCATCCCTTTTGTGCGTGGGAAAGACGCCTTGTCGCTTAGCTGCGGAACAACAATATTAAGCTATGTCGCTTTGTGGCCATCCCTTTTGTGCATGGGAAACACGCCTTGTCGCTTAGCTGCGGAACAACAATATTAAGCTATGTCGCTTTGTGGCCATCCCTTTTGTGCGTAGGACAGACGCCTTGTCGCTTAGCTGCGGAACAACAATATTATGCTATGTCGCTTTGTGGCCATCCCTTTTGTGCGTGGGACAGACGCCTTGTCTCTTAGCTGCGGAACAACAATATTAAACTATGTCGCTTTGTGGTTATCCCTTTTGTGTGTGGGACAGACGCCTTGTCGCTTAGCTACGAAACAATATTAAAATATTTAACTATTTTATATACTCGATTATGGTGATGTGATCATGTGCGTTTTCCAGTGATGCTCAAGTATATTTTATTTTTATAGATTGCAAATTGCGTGATCATAGAGTGAGAGCATTACACAAGTGTCCCGGCATCTAAGGTGAGTTTAGCTTCTTTTGTTTATGTTGTTTGAATATTAAATTGATATTAACACCATTCATATATTATGCTATATAAATTAAAAATTATATTATATTTTTCTTACTCGCTCTTACGCTACGACAGATTATTTGAAATTTTATTTTGAAATTTAACATTATCTGGTTTGGTGTGAATTGGTTCAAAGATTAATATACAAATAATTAACAAAAACCAGGAGAGAAAAATTGGCATATTATGGCTATATCAGATGTCCATTAATTAACCAAGTATGTGCTTACATTATTTATTTTATAAATTATTACATGTTCTTCTTTCGTGGAGATTTGGACTCAGAAGTGTGGCTGTAGTCATCTACTATCTTCTACTGTTACATGAAAGTCCAGGTTTAACAAAAATTGTATGCTACTACGTCTATAAGTCATATAACGTGTATTGCGGGATATGGTATCACCAAAAATATGAGAGAAATGAAATTGTTATAATTGGACGAAAATTGCAGTTAGATAGTAGACAGTTAAGCTTCATTCAGAAACTCGCAATTAGTGAAATAAGTTACTGGTTTCAATTAGCGTAGAAGTTTGTTTTTTTTAATTTCAATGTAAGCATTCGGAACTTCAAAATTAGTGGTAGACATTTTCAATTAGCAGAAAAAGTTATCAAACTTTTAACTTTTCCACTAATTATACTAAATATTAAGCTAAAATTTGCGAGAAATGTCATTTTGGCCTTTGATTATCTTCCGTCAAGAAAAATTTTGGTTAGAAATCAAAAGTTGATTGCTTAATAAGCTAAATATTAGGCTTTCACTATGAATACAACGGACTGACGCAAGCTGTTGCTACGATATTCTATTAATTTTAATTGTATTTTTTAAATATTGTAAATGATCGTAAACTAAAAAGTGTAAAGTGTAATTGAAACCACTAATTTATTCCACTAATAGCAGGTTCTGAATGAAGTTTTAAACCAAACCAAACCAAAACAAAAAACGTTAAGCTATTTTGAATAAAAATATATTCAATACTATCGTAAATATCGGAACAAAACCTCGTACTATTATATTTTTGCCATTCTACAAATTACTGCTGTTGTTATCTTTTAAACCCTTTATATTTTTGTCAAGAAGAACGGAGTTTTTTGACTCTCGTAGAACGAGAATATAGCAATAATCCGCTAACAAAATTTCTTAAAAACAAAATATAAATCTTCTTGGGTTAGCCATTTATTCCATATGTTCATAATAAAGAAACATTTTTAATTGTAGTCAAAATAATGGTTAAGTATTTTTAGCAATTATTTCGACAATAATCAATTTGCTATTTATTGAACAAAATACATTACAATTTAAACCACGACAAAAGTGCGCCAAAAAATTTAAGCAATTATTATTAAAAAATATTTTGCTGTTTTTGAACAAAATTCATTACAATTTAAACGACGACAGTTTCTTTTCAAGTGCTTTTTTATAAGCGGCAATCGATTGAAAAAATGCCACAGCGTCATGTCCATCAAACAATCGCTTAAAACAATTTCAATCATCACGATTTCAAATTAAACTCGCCATCTAGTTAATCGGAGTATTTTTGAAATTTTTTGTGTGTAAAAATTGTTTGTTATTTATAAAATGGGATGTCTATAATTTTCGGGTAATAATACTGATGAAATTTTGGACATTATTCATAATAACTGATATATTGTCATAAGAAAAAAAAATAACAGAAAATAAAAGATAAAAAAATACAAAAGTAAGAAGAAAGGTAAATTAAAAAATATAAAATTATTTACTGATACAAAAAGCTATAAAAGGGTGTCAAAATATCAAAACCTTTTTTTTCTCATATAACAACAAAAAAACTATAATTTATATTATAGCTGTGTTAAATTAAATAAAAATATGTTACGGTGAGATAATATAAATCAAAAGATAAATAAAAAGAGACAGCAACAAACTAATAGTTATTATTTAATTATTTAACTTTTACTCCTCGAACAGATCAATGCCCAAATCGGTAGCTTCTACGGAGAGTAGGGGGGTTATAACTAAATGTGTCTAAATTAAATATAAATAAGCGCCACCCACTTTCTGGACCCTAAGAGTAAAAGTGATGTTTCTGAAAGAAAGTGGGAAACAAAATATTAAATAAAGCAATAGGAATCACTTAACTCATTTAATAAAGAAGGTTCAGCAGAAATCACGATAAAAAGGTATACCTCTAAATATTGTATGTATGGCTCAAAACAGGAAAATTAGTTGTCAAAACCTTATGCTCAAATAAACTTAGTAATGCTGTACATTCATACTAATTAAAATAATTAAAAATTAATGAAAAGTCAGTTACAAAACGATACAGCTTAAAAAGTATCGGCAGTACACAAGTGGTAACTTGAACGTAGTGTCTAAACTAGAAACGGTTAAAACGATATCATAAATGTCAAAAAAGTTATATAACAGACGCTATAAATTACTGGAACGGAAATACGTACTCGCGATACTTACTAGTAAGTTCACAGATCGAACCGCAAGTAAAAAGTCTAAAGAAGTTAACTATAACTATCTCAAATACGCAAATTAAATAATTAAACTAAATAAACGACTATATTAATCATTATCAGTAAAATAAAACGAAATAGGTACTTATCAGGACATTCCAGAATCTCGGTGGTCGGTGACTCGGAAGATTGCTGACTTTTGACTGCTTATGGAAACTGCGGACGGTGAGCTGGCTTCAATATCCCATAGTGGTCGGTCTCACAAGGTCTTCTGGATCAAATGAGCTAGGTGATGAGGTGATGGTTAGCTCAGAACCACATGGTGAACACGGACGGGTGACGTAGGGACCTCATGGCAAGAAGAAACGGCATCAACGGCAACGAATAATAGATCCCCCAGTACAAAAAGGTAAAATGGAGATTAAATCCAAAATTAAATGGAGATAAAAACGAAGTTAAACTAAATTAAATGGCCTGAAAAAGAAGTTCAAAATTACCCTCAAGAAAAACTAGAAAATGGCGTAAAACATACCTGAGATGAAAGCAAGAAGAAACGGCAGCAACATGTGGCCATGTGGCCATTCATCAACTCTTCTCTCAAATTCGTGCGGTTAAAATAATTAGAAAATCGAAAAACTCCACTTGAATAGTGCAAAACGGCAAAACTATTCACTAAATAATTATTAAACCGAATTTGCTAGAACTTATATCAGCACAAGGCTTGATCCCAAAAGCTTGTCTGCACACCAAAACGGATCGTTCTAGAAGAAAGAAATCATGGATGAACACTGGACAAAAAGGGCAGTAAAAAAACACAGCAAATCAATGTTGCCAATAAACCAAATAACATACTCCCTAAGAGCAAAACATGAAATATGTAAAACATAAAAAACCAATAAATCGAAAGTATTCAAAGTAAACAGAAATCGAAGAAGAAATCGAAAGTACCACAGGAAAATATTACGTAACCAATATACAATGTCAACAATCAAAAAGTCACCATCATATATAAATGTCATATATAACTGTCAATCAAACCCTAATTCGGTAACTAATGCTAATATGCTCGATATTTATGTTGCCGCAGAATAAGAAATTACAAACTAACCTCAAATATTATTCCGCTGTAAACACATCGCTGTCAAAACATTACTCAAGCTAATTTCAATAAAATTACGATTTTGCAAGCCTTTAAGAGACTAAATATCAGCCACACATCGTAAGTAATATATTTAAAAGTACCTATTGATAATTACTAAACTTTTATTTACTTTTAGTTTATGATGTTCAACAATTGAATGTGCTACACTGATATCAACACTTGTTCGATTCAAAACAGAGTTAAATCCACACTATAATCATAAGAAAAGCTATAGCATTTTTATAATAATGGTACATTCCAAGGAATCAGTGTAAAATTCGATAATAAAAACCAAATTTAACTTGTTGTAATGGAAGGCATCGTATTTGTCTTCGAACAACTATAAAGCAGTACGAGACAGAAAAAATTACAGTGAAATTAGATCCTTTTTTTTATGTTGTTAAAAGCTATTGAGCCCAAAATAAATAAAATAAGGAAAGAAATGTATGAGAATATAAATCCCGTAACAACACCTCCCCTTCTTACAAAATAAGTTTCTTCGAAACTTATTTTTTATTTAAGATTTTATTTTCTCATTTAGTATTTGATACTAAATGAGAAAATAAAATCTTAAATTAAAGCTAGAGGTATAAAAAAAATATCAATCTATTAACGGTACGATAAGCGGTAAGTATGTGAGATTATGTTAAAATTAATTTTGATCAATGGAATCATCTGGAGAATGAGCTTTCAGATCCTTGGCATGATACACACCCAGGGTTTTACCAGTGAGATCAGAGAGTTAATATGACCAAGGAGATAAAATTCTGGTTATAATAAACGGTCCACTATATTTTCGATTCAGTTTGGCGGTAAATTGTTTTGATGCATCAGAGAGTACAAAGTTCCGTTTGAAAACTTGCTGATTTAGCTGAAATTTATCATCTCTTCTCTTAAGATTGTATCAGTTTCGTGAAGTCTGATAGGCTTGTTGTAGTTTCTTTCGCACATCAGCAAAAACTTTACTTAATGACTTAGATCTCTGTTCATGATCAACGTCAGATACATTGTCAGAATCTGGTGGAGACTTGGCAACTGGATGATAATTAACTTCTCGGCCAAACACTAAGAAATTTAGAGTGTGTCCAGTAACGTCATGACGAGCGGGTCTAATAGCGCAAGCAACCTTCGGCAAAACTTTATCCCATTTCTTCTGATCATCAGCAATGTAACATGAGAGCATAGTCTTCAAAACTCGATGAGTTCTCTCAACAGGGTTTGCTTGAGGATGATAATTTGCGGTATGCTGGATTATGACTTTATATTCTTCCATTAACTGTTATAATTTTGCTCTTGAACTGAGGACCATTATCAGCGATAACCTTTTGAGGAGCTCCATAAACTAAGATAACGAAAACACTAACAGCTGTAGCAGATCTGAGTGGGAAAAATAAAACAAATTTACTGAAAACATCACAAACTGAAAATATATGAGTATATCCAG